TTTAATCCAAAATTCTCAAAAACAATTAAACCTTTAATTTCTAAGTTGCAATTCAAAACTCTCAAGCAATTTCATTTCTCAATTTAATCTCAATCTCACCATTTCAATTTATCTCACCCTTTCCTTAATCTGTTTCTAACATCATCTAATTTATCTTTAATTTCTAACCGTTTACTTTGCACAATACTTACATATTCATATTCGGTACCGATATTCATGTACCATTATCATTATCACTTTCAATTATCCATTTGCTTTATTTTTCCGTAATTCCCCTCCGAAGGAAAGGTTCACCATTTGACCGCCGTGTCAATATCCTTCACCCTCGCCCATCCTAACCTTAGGATCCGAGTCGCCGTACTCGTGCTTAGGCGTCCCGCCGTGGACACACTCATACCTTTTCCCAACCTTAAGACGTTGAGTCGCCGTACTCATGCTTAGGCGTCCCGCCATGGACATTCATCCCTTTATCCTAGCTTTAGGATTAGGAGTCGCCGCACTCCATGTAAGTTCTCGCCGTGGAATACTTACCTTACCCTTTTCAATGGTAAGTACAATGGAAAGGGATACATTGAAATACAATGACCACTATTCTCCATAACAACTTTAAATTTCAACTGTGCTTGAGAATTCAGTTGAGAATGATTGAAGTAAAGTTCTTGATAGGAAATGTTGCTTCAAGCGATCAAGACTGGCCAGATGCAGTTATTTGCCATAATCCTTAACTTTTGCGATTGCCCTCCAGGGTTTTCAATCTAGCGGGATAACTATTTCTATTTTTGTCTCTAATTTTTCCTGGACCGCCCTTTCGGGTTTTCAATCCACCGAGACACTTATTTTTTTTCGAAGCCGCCCTCTCGGGTTTTCAACTTAGCGAACTGTTCTTTTATTGTTTATGCAGAGTATTTCTTGACTGCATTGGTATTCACAAGACGAGTGAACTTTTCACCATCCATAGTTGTAAGAATTAACACACCTCCAGAGAAGGCTCTCTTAACAACATATGGGCCTTCATAATTAGGAGTCGACTTGCCCCTAGAATCAGTAGTAAAAGTCAAGATCTTTTTTAGCATGAGGTTACCTTCACTGAACACACGAGGCTGAACCTTCTTATCAATTACTTTCTTCATTCTCTATTGATACAATTGGCCATGACACAAAGTCGTCATTCTTTTCTCTTCAATTATATTCAACTGGTCGTATTTACTCTGACACCATTCAGCCTCAGACAATTCATCTTCCATCAAACTCTCATATAAGGGATTTTAACCTCTATCGGGAGCACTGCTTCCATGTCGTAAACAAGAGAGAAAGGGGTTTCCCCTGTTGAAGTGCGGATGGATGTACGATACCATGCAGAGCAAAAGGGAGCATATCATGCCAATCCTTGTATGTAACGACCATCTTCTGAATGATCTTCTTAATATTCTTATTAGTAGCTTCAACAGCCATTCATCTTGGATCTGTAAGGAGAAGAATTATGATGCTCAATCTTAAATTCATCACATAATTCCTTCATCATCTTGTTATTCAGATTTGACCCATTATTAGTGATAATCTTGCTCGGAACACCATACCAACAGATGATTTGGTTCTTGATAAACCGGATCACTACTTGCTTGGTCACATTGGCATATGATGTCGCTTCAACCCATTTGATAAAATAGTCAATACCCACCAATATGAAACGGTGTATGTTCGAAGCTTTAGGTTGAATCATTCCAATCATATCAATTTCCCACATGGAGAAAGGCCATGGAGAAAAGATAACATTGAGAGGAGTTGGAGGCACATGAATTTTGTCAGCATAAATTTGGCATTTATGACACTTATTCATATATTTACAGCAGTCAGATTCCATTGTCAGCCAATAGTAACATGCCCTTAACATCTTCTTAGCCATTGCATGTCCATTGAGATGGGTAACAAAGGATCCTTCATGAATTTCTTTCATCAACATGTCTGCTTCGTGTCTATCCACGCATCTGAGCAAGATCATGTCATAATTTCTTTTATACATCACACCATTATTCAAGAAGAAACTACCATCCAATCTTCTCAAAGTTTTCTTATCCTTCTTGGATGCCCCAAGTGGGTACTCTTGATTCTGAAGGAAACATTTAATATCATAATACCAAGGTTTATCATCAACAACCTCTTCAACTGCAAACATATGAGTTGGTCTATCAAGACACGTCACATCAATCTTTGACACATCATTTCAATGATTTACCATAATCATGGAGGATAAAGTCGCTAAAGCATCTGCCATTCAATTCTCTGCTCTTAGTATATGGTGAAACTCAACCTTATTGAAGAAAGTTGACAACCTTCTTGTATAATTACGATAAGGAATCAAATCAGGTTGACGTGTCTTCCACTCCCCTTTAATCTGATTAATCACCAGATCTGAATCTCCATATACATCAAGGATCTTAATTCTTAAATCAATAGCTTCTTCCAAGCCCCTAATTCATGTTTCATACTCAGCCGCATTATTTGTGCAAGCGAACACCAACCTTGCAGTGAAAGGAATATGAAATTCATGAGGAGTAACAATAATTTCTCCAATACCATTGCCATATTCATTAACAACTCCATCAAAAATCAAACCCCATAGGGATCCAGGCTCAGACCCTTCTTCTGGTAATGGTTCCTCACAATCTTTAACCTTTAGATACATCACATCCTCATTAGAAAAACCGGATAGGTTGATAATCATCAATTGGATGGTGTGCCAAATGATCAGCCAAGACACTTCCTTTTATCGCTTTTTGAGTTCGGTACTCGATATCATATTCTGACAACAACATTTTCCAATGAGCAATCCTCCCGGTTAAAAAAGGCTTTTCAAAGATATACTTGATTAGATTCATTTTAGATATCAACCAAGTTGTACAATTCAACATATATGGGCGGAGGCGCTTGGCAGCCCAAGCTAAAGCACAACATATCTTTTCAAGCATTGAGTACCGAGACTCACAACCGATGAACTTTTTGCTCAAATAATAAATAGAAAATTCTTTTCTTCCAGATTCATCTCGTTGACCCAGAACACAACCCATAGACTCTTCCAGAACGATCAAATACATGATCAAAGGTCTTCCTTCCACAGAAGGAGACAAACTAGGAGGTTCAAAAAAATACTCTTTAATTCTTTCAAAAGCTTTCTGACAATCTTCTGTCCATACACAACCCTAATCTTTGCGGAGAAGCTTGAAGATCGACGCACATGTATAAAATGCAGTGCATGTATAAGTTTTTGTGATTGGTGTAAAAGCCTAAAGGACTTTCTAAATTTAAATTGAACATTTCGTAATGGGCAAAAGTACCCTTGTACTCTAATATGTTGAGAAAAATAAATGTGAGTTGGAAGTATTGATAAACAAGTGTGGTAAAGTCCCATATTAATTTGAAAAATGGAGATTTAGTACTTTATAAATGAGAGAACCCACACACCTATCACCTTAAGGTTTTTGGTGAGTATGTGGTGTATCTCTCATAAGGTGTGTTGCTCATAAAAAATGCCCCAATGTAGATGCTCTCTCATGTTAAACCCAAATTGATGAGGTTTTGGGTGTGTGTGGTGTATCACTCACAAGGTATGTTGCTCATAAAGAAAGACCCCGATGTAGATGCTTCTTCATGTTTATCCTCAAATTGATGATCAAACAGTGGTTCCAAAGCCTAAATCGAGTGAAGGACAAACTCGCTTGTATCGAAAGTCCTCCCCTCATGTTGAAAAAATGTCAACGATGGTACAAATGTATGTGGATGAAAGAGTTTTCGCTTGAGGAAAAACATTGTTGATATACTCACATTTGAGGGAGAATGTTGAGAAAAACAAGTGTGAGTTGGAAGTGATGGGAAACAAGTGTGGGGATGTCTCACGTTGATTAGAAAAGTGAAGATTGAACATTTTATAAATAAGAGAACCTACAAACTTATCACCTTAAAATTTTAAGTGAGTATGTATTGTATCTCACACAAGGTGTGTTACTCATAAAAAAACACCCCAATGTAGATGCTCTTTCATATTAACCCCAAATTGATGACGCAGCATAATAAATATAACTTATAAAAAATTTAATTTATATTTAAATATATTTCTACAAATTTCTATAATAGTGAGTTGCACAATAATTTTAAAAATAAAAATCACATTTTAACTTGAAAACTATAAATTCAATTTTTAAGTTGAATAACTTTTTGAAAAACATAACCAATTTTATTCCAAAACAATCAAATATATCAAAACAAGTTCTACATATTTCGAATCTATTCTCCATGCATTTAAATATGAAACCAATCATATACTTAGCTTAAATAGAATCACTTATGTGTGTATAATAATTTTTACTTAAAAAATAAAATGCATCAAAATTATTCCAAAATTAACTATACAGCTTTTAAAATTGTTTTAGTCTCTTTGAAAATCAACCACAATACAGTCCAAATTCCAGTTTTGGTTCGCATTCTAGAAAAATACGGTTGAACTCTGTTATACTGATCCGTTGGTTTATCCATGGAAGCAATTTGATAAAATCAAAACAAATGATAATTAAATTGCTAATCCATATCACAATATCAACGTAATAAAGTTTTAGTCTAACTTTAAAGATTAGGTAGTAGCACACTTTACGTGTAGCAGAAAACTTTCTTACCACTCACAACACAAACACTGGCTTATAAATTTTAGTAATTTTAAATTTCCATTGGCCAAGTCATTGTCATTGAGTTAGCAGTGTGTTAACCACAACACAGCCAGAAAAAGACAGGTAGAGAGAGAAAACAGATTTCTCATTAGGGCTTCATAAAGATGGTTTTGCTCAAATTCTTAACGAATAACAACTACAATTTCACATTTTATTGATAATCTTAAAATTATACAAATCACTCTTTTTCTTTTTCTTCTGTGTATAAATATAAATCTCGTTACATCATAACCGCACAAAAAAATATTCAGTTTTTTTTTTCATTCTTCCAATTTTGTTGCGAAAATGGGAAGGGGAAGAGTGGAGTTGAAGAGAATTGAAAACAAAATCAACAGACAAGTTACCTTTGCTAAACGAAGGAACGGGCTTCTGAAAAAAGCTTATGAACTTTCCGTTCTTTGCGATGCTGAAGTTGCGCTTATCATCTTCTCCAATAGAGGAAAATTGTACGAGTTTTGCAGCAGTTCAAGGTATTCACCAAAATATGCAACAATTAAAACCTAAATGTTTTTTATTCTTTTTAAAGATCTTCAAATCACGTTCGTTTTAATAATATATATATATTATTATTTGTATTAGTTTGTGAAAACATTGAAAAAGTTGATTTTCAATTTTCACTGTTTGAGTTTTTTCCGTTTCTGTGAATGTCTCGGCGTTTATAGAAGTTTGAGTGTTTCTGCAATCTTATTGATGTTAGATCTGCAACTGGAAACACAATAAACCTAATAAATAAATAAATAAATATTCAATAAAATAAATATATCACTGTTGTATTGTATTCTATTGTATTAATCTATTAATCTATTTTTGTTTTTGGTTTGTTACTTTCTCTTTCTTTTCCCTCTTTTAGGTCTAAACCCAGCCTCTGAATTTACCATATTTTCGCTTCGCCAGCGTTTGAAACAGATCTGGTTCAAAAGCGTTTTCTAAAAGCGATTTTCGAGTCTCTAGTCAGGTCTCTTTTCCGTGTAAATTAAGTGTTGGGATAATCAATTTTTTCTTCCATTTTGAGTTTTACTAGCTACTTTGCTTTTCAGTTTCAAAATTCAAAGTCACTCAAACCATGTATATTAAAACCTACTTCTCTGAACCTAGGGTTTCTTCTTCAACTTTAACTTTTCAATTTTCAAAATATATATATATATATATATATATATATATATATATATATATATATATATATATATATATATATATATATATATATATATTCCCCTTTCTTGATCCACATTCAACACTCTTTTATGTGTCCAAGGAGCAAAATGGTGTTATCAATTTGCTTAATAATTTCTTCAATTCAGTGACATGTTTTTTTTATAGTTTTTTTCTTTTACTTTTAATCGTTCGTTTCATGAGGGTGACTTTATGTTAAACTAGAATTCAGTGGTTAATAACATGAATGACCTCTATCTTCTTTTCTGTCAATTCCTGTTTTTCAATCACTTCATGACTTGTTGTTCTCATATTTTTCCTTTGGATAAACCCTAATCCTTTTAGATCTGGTTGTACGAAAATTTCTGGTACATGTTTTTTCTCCTGGATTAAGAAGTGACACTATTCATAAATGGTTTAAATCTAACCATATACACAGAAATATCTCAATGGTTTTTAATTTTCCGCATAAGGCTGTAGCCTCTCGTCATGATTCATCAGGTAAAATATGTGTTGATTTTTTACATTTATGGGTCAATTTTGGATATACATGTGATGTCATAGTAAATTTCTTGAGACTCTGATTATTTTTGTTGAAAATCAAATGTTTTCACTGATGAATGTCTAATTTTGTGTCATTTAAAGTTGATTACAGCCCTAAAATATGATTTCTCATAAGATTATTTTACTGTTTATTTACTAATTTCCGTGATGGGTATGTGAATACAATTTTTTATGAATTTTTTCCTTCAGTTTTATTCTTTATCAAAACTTTTTATTAATTATTGGTCCAATCCAGTAATAAACTTTCTATATATAAAGGTTATTAATTGTTGATATAATTATGTTTTATTATAATTTTATCTACTATTTAAAATATTTTCTATATTTTCTATATTAGTTGTAACTATTTTATGCATAATGTAAAATGAAAATGATTGAACCAAAAATTCAATTTATATGGGTTTACCATCATTGCATACTAAATTAAGCTGTCAGTGCTCATTATTTTCTTCTATTTTTTCTCTTACAACTAGTATGTTAAGAGTGGGTATAATTTTTTGTAATACTAATATTAATAGATATTAAGAAATTATTTATATTGTTTTTTAATTATTATTTTTATTTCTATTCACTTTTGATTTTTCAAGAAAATATGTAAGTTATTTATATTAATATGTATTTAAAAATTATTTATATTTTTAGGATGTAAGTTTATGCTTATTTTTTTTATATGAAAATTATTTTTATTATAAATTGATATTTATGTGATATGTAATTTTTTTTACAAATTTATTTATTTTGCCAATGTGGGGGTGCAGCATGCTCAAAACGCTAGAGAGGTACCAGAAATGCAACTATGGTGCGCCTGAAGCTAATGTATCTGCACGGGAAGCATTGGTAATACTCTCAATAATCTCATATATCTTACATAACTATAATGCTAATTGTCCTTTTATCTGACTAATTTTGATCATTTTTTTTTCTTTTAATTTTCAATTAGTGTGCTTTATATAAATAAAATAGTAAAAAAATTTAAATTATGTTTATCTACTATCTTTTATCTTTTTTATATGTATTATTTTATAAGTTTTTGAATTCAAGAAGTGAACTTTAAAAATGATGTATTATTTGTGTGATCTAAATGCAACATCCATGAGTATAGGAGTTAAGCAGCCAACAGGAATATTTGAAGCTGAAGGCACGTTATGAAGCATTACAACGGTCTCAGAGGTAGTGATTATATATGCTCTATTTTTACTTTCAATCTCAAAGTTGTGTCATATAGGACAGAATGTAGTGTTTTAGAGTATTGATTTTGCCGTTTAAAAAGGGATAGCAGTGCATCTTGTTGTCGGTTTGTTTGCTATCTCTATAATTTTGATTATATATATGATCTCTAAGTATGGCTGATACAATACAAAGTACTATGAATAACAACGTTTTTAACTGATACCATGTTAGGAACCTTATGGGAGAAGACCTTGGCCCTCTAAGCAGCAAAGAGCTCGAATCGCTTGAAAGGCAGCTAGATTCATCCTTGAAGCAAATAAGATCAACAAGGGTAATCTCAACTTTCGAACTTTTGTCAATTACTATATGAAATTCCAGCGCAAAACATAATCATAAAGTCTGAACCAAATTGTAACGATACCAAAAACATAGGAAAATGATATCACTCAACCTAGCACTAAGCTTGGATGGAGAGCTTGGTTAAGCGCATGTGCATTTTCAGGTGGTGCATATGAGTTCTGATTAATGGTTGTCCTGCTGAATAAAGCAGTGATATTTGTTGGCCCTGTTCCTTTTTCTTCTAGTGGTCAAGGGACTAGACCTATATTGCCTAATGAACCGATCAGTATCTCCGGGCCTTTTCAGGGTTTTAAGGTGGATCCGTTAGATGTGGTAGCATCTCACCTATAATCTGCAGATGATATTTTTCTAATTTGGGAGGCAAGTGCTGGTAATCTGTGGGTCACCAGTCATTTCTAATATAGTTAGAGGTAGCTTCTAGTATGAAGATGAGCTTCTCTTAGAGTATACTTTTGAGTGAAAACCTTGATTCTTTCTTCCTTTCAGTGGTTTCATGGTTTCTCAATTGTATGTTGTGGTTGATGTCATACATAAACTTTAGACTTTTGGTTGGTGCTAGTCCAGGAAGTGCATGCCCACATGGAAACCATATTGCTGGAAGTTCTTCAAAAATAATTTGGGATTCTGACAAAACATGTTTGTTTGATAGATTCGGTTAATTCTTTGAAGTCTTTCTTGAAAGCAAAAGTTACTACTGACTTCAATTTATAATAGAGTATATATATGTTATCTTATTTTGTAACTTTGTTTCTTTTACAGACCCAATTCATGTTGGACCAGCTCTCTGATCTTCAACGCAAGGTATGAGAACAATTTCACCATCATTTGCCAGCATATGTTATCTACTTCCAGTGCATTATGCTTTTACTCACCTGTCATTGTTGCTTGTGTAGGAACATATGCTAAGCGAGGCTAACAGGTCTCTCAGACAAAGGGTACGCAAAAAAACACCTCATCAATCATGTAAAATTATATAACACATAACAAATATACATGACCAAAAACCTGATATTGTCTTGTTGAAAATCAGTAATTAAGTGTCTCTGTCTGTTTTTGTAGCAGCTGGAAGGGTATCAATTGAATCAACTTCAAATGAACGCATGTGTTGAAGAAATGGGCTATGGTCGGCATCCAAGTCAAAATCACGGTGATGGCCTCTTTCAACAATTGGAGTGTGAGCCAACATTACAAATTGGGTACGCACTTTTTCTTCACTCAATTTTGATCATGGATGATAATGTTAATCTTGGTCAGCATGATGTTGGTGTTTTTAGGCATTTGATATCTTAGAAAGCATTTTAGATGCAATTAGGCAATTGATATCTTAGAAAGGAGTAGTATTTTGGATGCAATTATGATTGACATTAGTGTTTGGGTGATATGTTAGTTAGAATGGCAACTGAATTTTAACTTACGTGTTTCAAAATATTACAATTTATAATAAATAAGTTCTTAAAGCTACATAAATGTTTAATATAATTCCTTTTTAAATAAAACATAAAAAGTATATTTTGTTCAACTTAAATTTGAGTGATAAGTGCCATTAATTTTATATATATACAAAAATTGATACTCATCATGTCAATTTAAATTGAAGTAAATTTTTTAGTTTAATTGTTTCTCATTGTCATTATAAAAAAAAAATATCATCATCTCATATACAGTACTTTTTAAAGACGAGGTTTTAGATAAATAGAAAGGTTGATAGATAGATATGGTGGATATAGATGTAAATTGGTATTATTTTAACATTGATTTGTTATATTTTGATATCATTAAAATTAAATGTTTCGATTTTAAGTCAAGTAATGAAATGATTTTCCTAAGCGCAGTTATCAGCACGATCCAGGATCAGTGGTCACAGCAGGCCCAAGCATGAGTAATTACATGGCAGGATGGTTACCATAGTGGGAAGCCCTTGGTTGGGTTTTCACTTTTCAGCATATGATCCACTCCAGCAGCAGATTTGTGGTTCCAGTTTTATTTGAAAATGGCCAGAAATATTAGTTTCCTTTGACATGTAATGTACACTACTACTAGTAAGTTTCTACTGTGTAGGAACAATGTATGCAGTTCTGTTCTATGTGTGAGCTTTCATAAAACTGCACTTGTTTCTTTCTGTCACTGTTTTCTTCACTTTCTGATTAGATAAATCTTAATAATAATAATTGTTTGTAACCTCTTATTGCCATGAATTATTATTGTTATTGTTATTCTGAGATATTAGATATCATTTTTTAGATGTTATCATGAATGAATAATATATCATGCCTTCTAATAATTACTTAGAGTAGTTTGGGTACTTTCCAGAACAATTGATATAATCTTAAAAGTATTTTTTATTACCGCATACACTATGGTGGGATGTTTTGTGTTACCTAAGTATTTTGGTTCTAAGCTTAAACTCTTTCGAGAACAATATGAAGAAGAAATTTACCGGAAAGCATGGAATCCAATCTGCAAAAGAAAGAATGTGTGTGGTTTTGGTTTTAGAGTTTTAAAATAAAAGCCTTCAATGAAGCTCTTTAGATTAAACAGAGATGGAGAATCTTTGAAAATCCAGATTCTCTTACTAGTCAAAAATTGGTCACAGGTCTAGTTTTCATATAGAAGAGCATTCACCATTCTCATCTGGTCATTAATAAAGGTGGTTATTAGAATATAGGAGATGAGTCTGAAATTAACATGTGGCAAGAATAAGATGGATGGCTTCCTAGTCAGAATTGTTTCAAAACTTGGTCCTGTAACCTAGGGCTGGAAATGAGTCGAGTCGAGTCGAACTCACCTCAGCTCGGCTCGACTCATTAAGAATTGTTTGAATTCGAGTTCGAGTTCGAGTTCGACACGAACTTTTTTTTAAGCTCAAACTCGACTCGTTATAAGTTCACGAACAGTTCGGTTCGACTCGTTAGGTTCATCTCATTAGGTTCAGCTCACATGGTTCACGAACTTAAAAACTATTTTTTTAAATATATATATATTTTAGCATATTTGACATTTTAAATAAATATATATTTTTTAAATAAAATATTAAAATAAAATAAAAGTTATCATATTAAAATTTAACTTTATCTTCGAAATCTACTAATTCAAAACCTACACAACTTTCAAGAGATACATTTGAGAGTCTAATTCAAAAACTACTAAATTGAAGATTAGATTTGTCTAAGATTTGAAGTAAATATTTAAACCTAATCTTAAAGACAGTATAATTCTTTTCATATGTAATCGAGTTGACTCATGAACCTAACGAGTCGAACTATGTATAGTTCAAGTTCAGCTCATTTAGTTAACGAACTTAATTTTTCGCTCATACTCAACTCATTTGGTTCATGAACCTAGTTCAACGATTTAATTGTCGAGTCGAATTCCGAACTATATTCGAGTTGGTTTGGTTCATTGCCAGCCCTACTGTAACCCCAAAAGTCCTAGGCTTAAAAAAGTAAGTGGTTTTGTTCAACAAGATTCAAAAACTTAAAAATCCTATATCCAATTGTTCACACATTCACTTGCTTTAGACAAAACTGGTTTTTATCATTAAAGGAAGGTAATCCCAGATATTTTATGATACAGAAACATTAATTGCCCTATTAATTTCTCTAGATGTTTCTAGATTATGAAACCCTAGTCATTCTTTTAAATAATGTGGTTGGCCTTAGAAGATTTGATTTGAATCTCCTTTGCAATCCAATTGGACAATATTAAAGAATATTAAAGAGATTTTGGGTATTACATTTCTCACCTTTAAGATGTTAGTTCAGACTGTTGAAAAGTCTTTGAACGCATTTAAAATGCAGATACTTCAACACTTTGTGATTGAGTCATTCCATGTTGCTCAAAAATATATTGGGAGATACGCCTTTGTAACCATATTAAGGTATAATTGGAGGTACATCTCTGTAAGAATCCTTAAATCAAAAATCAAAAAAATTTACGAAGATGCATATCCGAAATGTACATTGTAAGCTTAAACTAGAAACCAGTAACAAATGGATGAAGAAAGTTAAAGAAAAATATAAAATAATATCAAAATATGTCACAATACATAGATAATTGTAATATAAATATGTAACATGACATGGATAATCATAACATAGATACCTAACTAAATTCGGGGTTCCGCACAGTTGAAGTAGACAAATGTAACATGCCAATATATGTTTATTCTAGTGTGGTGTGTTTTTGTAAACAATATGATATGAGAGACCACATATTTATACAAATTTTTGTTCATTATGAACCTTAGAAACTCTATCATGTCTCAAAGAATTATTTAAATATGCATCTCCAAATCCATCTAGTTTGGTTTCCAAAATAAGGGCCTATACGGAGATGCATCTCTAAAATACCCCTTTGTTGAGTAGAAATGGGGCAAATCTAGAAGTACATATCTGAAAACGCTCTGGTTTCCATTCAGTTTCTGTTTTATGCAGGGATATATTTGTGAAGAGCTTGAAAAATAAGTTTTTGTAAAATTGCCAATTGTTATACGATTAATTTTGAATATACATCTTCGAGGGGTAATAAACTCAAAATTATTGTACCCCTCGGTTTTATGAGGTAATCGAGGTGAAAATATGGTATATTCATCGGTGAAATTAAAAAATTGAGGGGACATGTATTTTCGTCATTAGAATTTCAAAAAGACCCCCCCCCCCCTCTGTGATCGAACTCGTGACTTTTCACATACCTGTCATCTTTTTTAAAATCGAGAGGTAAAGTGTGCAGTTTTTATGACGTTCTTCGTTACCTCGTCTCTGTTGTCGAGATTAAATGTATTTCGCATCCGAGGTTAAATGTGTTTTTTCTAGTAGTGATTATATTCTGATCATATAGTGTTAAGAGTTTGCATTGTTGCATTTTTTATCTTAGAACTTTTAATCGATTGTTTTATGTTTTTGGGATATAAGTGTTGTTCCGGACTGACCCAATGGTTGGGCATGACCCAATCTGCTTCTGCTTCCAGAATGACCTAATTGCCTAAGTCCAACCTCGTTGGTGGAGAGTTTATCTTTCTGCCCCTCCAACAAGGAAAACTAACTTATTTACCCCTTGGTCACATTATTTCTCCCTGCAAATCTCTGCCCGTCACGCACGGTTCCACCATCCAGGAACAGGCAGGACACTTGTGCCCATAACTACGCCCCTACCCGCGCTAACGGTTAATTATGAACACGTCTGCCCGTCCCAATGGCTATTTCTGGCAGTTACCTATTCTTCGGAAAACGGTTATCTCGCCCCCGATATAGGGACCAATGGTCAAGCGCTGGAGGCATTATAAAAACCCTCTCACTTGAGAGGGCCAGGTATCCAATTTCTTACCTAGAAACACATATTTTGTACTTGCTCGCTCTCTTACTCGTTTTCTTACTTTAGCATCGGAGTGCCTTGTAGGTACACCCCCTCCTCCTCTTTCACACCCAGCATCACAGACGTTCGTCTTCAACCCATTTCAGATTCTGATCATTCAGTAAGATCGGTGGCGCCGTCTGTGAGAAACTTTCATCCCCGCCTTTTCTCCTCTCATAGATAGAAATACCAAATCACTTTTTCAACCTTCTGATCATGGCTGCCCAGGACAACCACTTTGATGCTCATAATTCTGCTTTCCTCCCCGTCAGCAAGACTGCTGAAGGGGCCTCCACATCTCATGTCGCCGACGCTCTCCAACTAAGAGATGGAGTCACAGCTTCTTCATCCCCTGTTCGCACAGATAACGGCGAAGTCCCGCTCGACCAGCAGCACTTGTCGGTCCCAGTTCCGCCCAACGCCGACCCCGCCATGACGGTCCTCCTCGAGGTTCTCAACATGACCAACCTCCTCATCCTCAACCAGAGTGAAACGGAGTTCCCCTCCCTGGCGCGAGAAGAGTCGTCGAACATGTTAGGACAGTGGTAAAGTGTCGGGTTTTTGTTATCGTCTCCACAGGGAATATAAGATTTTGCCGCCGTACGACAGTTGTTAAATTCGTAGTTTTATAGTAACAAAGGGTTTGGTTTTAAAAACAGTATCTTGCATAAAAAGTTATAAACAACGGTAAAAATTAGGGTTTGACGATTTAAAGAAAGATTGCCAAAGTTAGGTTTCAATGATCACTTTGCATGCATATGTTTAATCAACAAGATTTATAAACTCCATCTAGATAATAAACTCATTCACAACATCCTCTCAATGTGATTATCTCTAACTCACATTGTGGGTTTTACCGTTTTGATCCATTTTTGATCTCTCACACAATCTATCAAACTGATAACATTAAAGTTTAACATTTTAAGTGAACATCTTCATTTTTAACTATCTCTAGCTTAAAAACAAAGATGGATGAAAACCTAGGTTAAGAGTTGGAAAATATCTCTCAATCATAAACCAACACAAAGAGTTTTCAATAAAGCAAAGTTTTCATCATTCATTCATCATCCAAGAGTTTACAATACAAATGAAGATCAATACATTTACATACAAAGGTTGATGATCACCTACATCTAACCTTGACAACAAGAAGAACTTAGCCACTCATTCTCATGGTAGCTTGAACAAGAAGGAAATGGAGAAGATGAAGAACATCCACTTAGAAGAATCGATGAAGGATGTGATTCCACTTCTCCTTGATTGCACACAAAAAAGCAATATGAAGAAGAACTAATGTTTTTAGGGTTCTAGAGCTCTATTCTTATGTTACAAAAAGTCATTCATTTCAAGTACATGGTATGGGCTATATAAAGCAACCAATAAAGTAAAAAGGAAGTGTTGTCTGTGCACATTCGCCAGGAAAACCATGACCTTCGCCAGGCGAACCAAAAATAACTTGGCACTTCAAAGTGCCTCTGGCTAGCAAACTACCTTCTGAGGTATCGTGCATTCTCCAGGCGAACAATTCACTCGTCGGGCGAACATTCGCTGGCCTCACT